ACAGGGGCTTCATCCCCTTCTTTCTCCCCTAGCCTGGGAGCTCCTTCCCAGCTCCCTGCCAGCCTCCAGCACCTTGGGCAGAAGCAGCTTTGCAGAAAGAGCAAACAGCCCAGTCCCTGGCAGCCCCACAGCCCCTCTGCCCCCTCAGAACTCCTTGCCTGGAGCAGCATGATGTCGTTGTACATCGTGCTGGGGTCGTATTCGGGGTGCTCGTGGTACTTGAGGACTCCCCGGACCTGCTGGCTTTTTTCTGGTTCACGGATGTCGTGAGCCCCCAGGATGACTGTGATATTCCTGGCCATGGCAGTGGAGGGGAGAAAGGGGAAATCAGGCTGGCTGTCACCCACCTCCCTCATTTTGGCAGACAGGTGCAGAGAGCTGCCCAGCACAGCAGGAACCTGCTCCAAAATTGCTCTGGGGAAGGAGCTCCCAGGCTAGGGGAGAAAGAAGGGGATGAAGCCCCTGTATCAAGCACTCACCCCATGCAGTGTGCAGCTGACATCACCCAGTCAGGGGCCACCAGGAAGCCCCCGCAGGCCCCCAGCCCCGCTATCTTCAGGTACGCCATGTACGGGTGGGAGTGGGGCCGCGCCTCGTGGCCCCCCACAATCTGATCCCGCAGAGCTCCTGCAAGACACCCCAGCACAGCTGAGCCAGGGGCTGCTGAGAGCCCAAACGAGCTGTCCCCACTCCCAGCCAAGCCCTGACTCACTGGCACTGGCCCACGGGCAGCAGAGCAGGAGCAGCAGGGCCGGCAGTGGCATCGCTGGCACAGCTGGACGCTCCTCCCCAGATGTGTGGAGGTCCTGAGTTTCCCCGTGGGCAGGGGCTGGTTTTATAGGCTGGAGGTAGCTGTGCCCAGCAGGCAGGAAACAGTGTGCAAGGGGCTGATTGTGCTGATCAGGGCAAGGCTGGCCTGGCCTCCTCAGTGCCCACGTGCCCATGGCTGTGATTGAGGGGCGATAGCGCAGCACGGAGAGTCCAGGGCAGAGAGAGCCTGGTACGCCACAGCCACAGCCTCAGGGGGGCTGGCACCAAGGGAGAAGTGTCCTGTGGTGGTTTTGAGGTGTTATTTAACATTTCTACCGCATTTTCCATTTAATGTTTTTGCCTTGAGGAAATACAAGGTTCAAAAAAAAAGCCGCTTAAAAAAAAATAAGAAACAACCAACAAAACTTTGCCATTTAAAGTCATGAATGTGGTCTAGAGGAGATAATCCTGAAAGTTGCTCTTTCATATTCCTGTTTTTCCTCAAGAGATGCGCTGCAGAGCCTCTTTTCCTACAGAGATCCACCATCACCACAACCCAATTTAAATGAAAGGGCACCCAGGCACAACAGCTGTGCCTGGGACAGTTTTTGAGCACCGTGAAAAGTCAGATCTGCAGGGTTTGGTGTCAGCCCAGGTCAGAGGGGCCTTGCTGGTTCTTCTTGGCTCCTCTGGGGGCAGGAGGATCCTGCCAGCTTGGGGAGACTGGGATGTGGGAAGTTCTGCTCTACAGCAGAAGAGACTGAAGTGGGGAAGTGCAACCACCCAACTGCCAGGAGTGATCAGTCATTTTTAAACCAGCCCTGCTCCACCCTTCCTGGAGCAGAAAAACACCTGCAGGCAAGTGGATGCCTTGGGCTGTGCTGGGGCCATGCAGAGGGGACAGGATGGGTGGGTGGGGA